TCTGTTAATTATTACTCCATAATATATTCCTGAAATTTTAATATCAAATTGTTCTGCAAATCTAAGTCAATTTCCAATAGGCTATCTGTCAGTACAAAAAAAAAATATTCATTTAATTAATTTTAATCAACACAAACCTATTTTTTAGTCTATTCATATTTTTTATACTTCTTAGAATCTCCAAATCTCACCAAATATTATGTCGAATGTACATAAATGTACGTAATGATGGAAATTTACGTTTTTGTCGTTATTAGTTTCCAAATTATTAATTAGTCTGTTTGAATTTTTTACTATTGAGTCCACATAAGTAGAAATCATTTGTTTTTTGAATACTGGATTTAATATTCTTCGATGAATTTTCCATATTGGCACTTTAAACAAGAGAAAGTTTCTAATTTAAATTTATTATATTTTTTTTTTATTTTGAATATTTTTTAATTAAAAAATTGGGAAATGATACCCTATAGTTTACCTGGAGCAGTAAGCAACCCGTTACTGAAATAAGGTTTTATAAAGTCATACAAATTACTTTTCTCAAATCCATAAGAACTGTTTGATAAAATCTAAAAGGCAGACAAGAAAACTAACAAAAATAAAATACAACGAATAAAAAAAATTTAACATTTGTAAGCGCATTATAAGGGGTATCATAAAATTTGATTATTCWTACGTTAATATTTTCAGGATCATCAAAGATTAGGACCAATTTTGGGCCTATCCAGAGTCGCCACGGCGAAGAATAGTTTGCAGATGTTTTTAATAATTTATAAGTTATATTTAAGACTAATTCATTTAATATAGCGATCGCCTAAATATAGATATTTTAAATATGAAATAAAAATGTACCTTTTAAGTCACCAAGAAACATATATAAGTTTCCAATTAGAGGATAAGCTTTAGGTCCCGGACATTTTTTCACCAAATTATATTCACGAAATTTATCTGATATATATTTGATTATATAAAATAACAGAATTATTATTACTATTAGAGCAATAACTTGAGTAATAGAAAACATATTTTGTACAATAATATAAATATTATAAAATAAGTTAAAATAAAGAGAAAGAGTTTAAAAATATTGCTCGATCTTCTCTTGTATGCTAGGAACAGATATTAAGTTGACACTCCGTAGTGTCTTCTTGTATATTTTGTGTCGTAACAGAAATTAGGAAAGAATCTTCAAACGGGAGCCTATTTAAGCACAACCAAGATCGTACTTTGTCCTTGTGTCAAGGATACTTTCAACAATTGCGTAAAATATAAGACAAAAAGCTGTATTTTATCAATTCATTTATTCCTTGCATATTAATATTATTTTACATAATCGCAATGCATAATTTATTTAGTTTTCAAGAGTAGAAGTGGGTAATCGATGATAARAACATAGTTACTTTTTTAAAAATTTTTGATTTTTTCCTTACTTCTGTTCGACTTTGTATTATGCTAATAAATTATTTCTAGATAAATCTTATACATAACATGGGTAGCAAGAAGTGTATCGATGAAATGTCAGATTGGTATTACTTTACTTTGCATTATTTAAAAATGTATCGATTAGTTTTAATTATTCGAGAAAAAATACAAAGTTTTCCTTATATTATATTGAAATGTAAAATTAATATGCAAGACAATTTTCCTTTAAATAGTAGGACTTTTTCTCGTAGGATTGTTATATATTTCTATTACGTGTTCTATCTTGTCTGATAATGATTCAATGAAAATTCGTTAGAAAATTATTGTTACATACAAAAGTAGTAGTCTAAAAGCMAGTKATCAACAAACTGCATGTAATTTGATTAATTGAATGCTACACGAATTCTGAAGGAAATTCTCGTCAGGCCT